TATATTTATTTCTAAGCATTTAACTTCTAGATATTTAAACCTCGGTCCACGTCCAGGTCTGAAAAGGACAAGTTTTTTTTGTAAAATTTTCTTAAGGATTGAAATCAGAAATCAATTTAATCTTTCTATTCCATTCATAGAGAAGGCCTGTGCCCCAGCAGTGGGGACATTAATAGGCTGATGATGATGATGATATGTATTCTATCCGTTACTTTAGTATTCTTTAGTAAAACAGGCCTACAGTGCTTACTTATGATGACATAACTTATGTTTCTAGTTAAAGCTAATAATATCACCATGCTAAGAAGCAAACATTTTTATAAATTAAAACATTACTTCGTTAATTTCTAACTTTTATTTTACAGAAGGTCACACGCGTGTAAACTATAAGTGCGTCAAAAGTCACGCGTAATTATTCTATATTCCATAAAGCTGCAGCCTAATGATGTCGTGGGCGTTGATATTAATTCACAAATTGTTGCGTTAATACATTATTCTTATACATTATTTATAATATCTACTTTGATTTGCGTCCGACCCGTCTAGATGATTAGTTTTTTTCCAAAAGCCTATCTATATTTACATTTAGATAGATCAGCTATGAATAAATCAAAGTTGTCAATACTTCCAGGATGGGTAGTAAGTATGGTCTGATTTCCCTAGATATTTTTATACCGCATATTTTACCCAGAAATAATCTAGTCCAGTACTAGGTCATCCATAAGCTTGCCAAAGGAATATAAGCTTGAATATGAATTAATCTAACAGGCAATAAAGCTTCTTCCACATTTGTACCATTTAGTTGTATCGTATCTGCATCGCGTGGCATCGATGTGTATCATGATCGCTATCGTTAGTATGAACACAAGTTGATACCCGGTAATGATACACGCCGTATCCGATCCGCACTGATCGCGTATCTTAGTACACCTCGTATCTGATCGTATCTGGATCGGATATCGGATCGGAGTGCAGTCGTATTTTGATACTGTATCACGAAACTGTATCGCTATACGATACACGATAAACCGCAATCAAAGGGGATAAACGTCGTTTTGAAATTGTTTGGACGTGAATCCTTTTGAATGCATTTGAATTGCGTACGTTGACCTCGCTGTACCGTTTATGAACGTAGAAATGACTGAACTAGGTACGATAGGGGAACGAAACGAACGAACGAAAAAAAGCACTGAAAAACAGACGTATCAGGAAAAGATAAGAGCAAAAGTTGTAGCGTCCATATCTGTTTAGTTGAAACCGTTACATTGACATAAAACATCATTGGATAAGCATGGACGCGTTTTAACAAGATACGATTTATTGAAACGACATAGTCAAAATGCTCGTCCATATACATGTTACAATTACTCGATACTATATGTCTGATCGTGATACGTCAAGATGCTACAAATGCGGACAAAGATTTAGGGTACTGGGTAATAATTAATACGAACCTAATATTATTTGGCAGATAATATTTGGTAATGATAATTATGTTGGCTAATATTTATTGATTTCGGCTAAATGATCGAGGTCAAATTGTGAAGCGAACAAAGCCTCCAAAAACGTTTGGCAAATTAATTGTTGTTTACTCTATTTCATACGTGCTTGGTTTATCAGAAAATGGTTATCCTATAAAGGATTCTCATATCATTCGTATAAGAATTAAGTGTTCGAAATACGTAATCTTTCTCAGCCTCTCGAGCGTAGCTTAGAGTTGGAATTTTAACTGTGTCTGTCTTAAAGACTGAGCTCGTCAGGAAATAACAATCTTGTTCAATTCAGAGAATGTATTCTCAATAATCTACTTGACGGTATGAAAAATAAAGTACCAATTTTTGGCATGTGTTGATATTTTAAAGAAGAACGGTGAATGTAGGCCCAAATGTTTTAGAAGCCATTCAATGATAGAAACATTAAAATTTTAAATAAGGGGATTACAGTAATTTTTAAAATATAAACTAATTTTTTAAAAGCTTACATTTAGAAATAAAAAAAAAATAGGTTTCTTTATCGAAACATCACATTATCCATAGCAATAATAAAACGCGAAAACAGTGTCGTCTGCAAGAGTTTTCACATTAGAATAACATTAATAGCAGCTATTGCTCACTATATGTAACGAAGTTATTTTAAATATTTGATAAATCAAACAAAATAAGTCAACGTTATCAAAATAAAGAAGAAAATACTTTATTTTTAAACATTTTTCTAATATACATATAAACGGATATTGGTTTTTTACTTCTGTGAAACGGAAAAATATTTATAAAATCGAATGTCAATGTCTGTCAATTTTTGTTGTTTCGTTCGTTTCGGTGTTTATTTTGCGTATAATATTTTGTCGTCGCGTAGAATGGCATAAAGTGATGATACAACCTTAAACCTATCTGAAGACAACCCACACCTTAAAGTAAAAACCGCATTAAAATCACAGACTATTTAGAGATACTATTAAAATCTTAGTTAGTTGCCCTCCATCTATAAGCGTACAAACTGATAGGTTTGTCTATGATGTCGCATTTTTGTATAGAGAAGCAGAAAATATGATACAAAATCATGAAAATCACATTATAAATACATAATATTATTATATACTTACATAAAATAGAAACACATTATTGTAAGTAAAACATAACCTCACTGTTATATGAATTCTACTACTTGTTATCTTTTTTGTGCTAGCTTTATTTGATTAAGTCTTATTGACTTTTTTGAATTCTGGGTCAAAAACTATATGGAAGTTCGCCATTCTTCTTTAAAATATATTGGGGCAAAAATTATTGATAATATTACTAAATATCATGAAATACAAAAGTATTCTGTGATCTATTGTGTCCGATCCGAAACGTCTAGGAAAATGACGTCACCTGCTTGTAAACATGCTGATGAAGTGACATTACTTTGTACTGTTTGACGTTTTAATGAGAATCCTGTAACTTCACCTGCCTGTAAACTTAAAAAAACAAAAAGAATATTAATTAACACTGATCGATGCGGCCTGTGGCCGCGTGATCGTGGCCGTCTAGTGCGCGAGGTGCCTTAGACATCGTTTCACTTCATGAAGTATTAAATTAAAAATATGTTTTTGCATTAATGTCAACGATTTTTAGCTGAATTGATTCCATGAAGACATAATTAGTAATTTTTTAATGAATGTTGAAATAAACCACGTAATTAAATATTAAAAAGTTTTTTATTCATAATATTATGGAATTTGCTTTCATACATTAATATCACAATTCGATTATTATACTTTATTGATACAAATTTTATTTCTTCACAAATACACAATGATTGTACTCTTAACAAACTATTCGCATGGCATTATTCGAAACAGTAAGTAAGTATAATATTTATCACACTATAAGAACTTTTATGTTTGCCTCTTTTTGTTTTATAGACATTTATATAAAATCAAAATTATAATATTCTTACACACATTCAAAGTGTCTTGGTATTATCACGTATCAAATAGTAAAAAAAAAACTTGTAAAAAACTTCATCTCTAGACACTTTTCATGCTTATTTAATATGGAATATGCATGTAATTCAAATATGCCTCATTTTATTTTTGTATAAAATCTATTACTTTTAAATCGTCCCTCCCTTAATATTTGTTAATAAAATTGATTTTCGAGCAAAAAATTAATGATATATAAGGGTGAAAAAGGAAAAGATAAAAGGGTGTTTGAAATGCGACGAGAGAGGTTGTGACATTAAAGTATATACCTAACAACAAACAAACGTGATATTCACAGGATATGCCAATGTCAACGAGATTATATTGCGAGTGCGTAGATGTCGTAGATGTCCAAGCCGCGTTCCACCTAGACACCGAGTGTAACTTTTCACTATTACATTTTAATTTATATATTAAAAATGTATAAAACATAATGTCTATTTGACTGATGTAGGTTCCAACTTAAATCCGCAGTGAAGGTATGGAAAGCAAAATGTCAGTATCTTGTAAGGTCATTGATTTTTTTTGTAGGTTAAAATGTATCGTGTCGGCACATCCAAGCGTTCCAAAATAAACTGCACTTGAAATAGGGCCATTTTTAACATATTTTTGACACTATTCAAATATTTCGACGTTGTTTTTTTAATACTGTATAAATGGGATGTAAACTACTAAATGAAAGTATAAAAAAATCATGCGTAGGTATATCCTATTATAAGAAAAGAAATTATCGAACAAATACATATGCAGTTAAATGATACAAGAATACTTAAAGCGTTATAAGAAACTTTATGACAAAATCAAGAATACTATCCCATTCCACCTTATTCCAATACGCCGACTAAAAGTTAATCTTGGTTTAAACCTGAAGTTGTATCTGTTGCCCTTTTAGCAAATAAAAGTGACAGCATCTGTTTAAGTACAGGTTTAACTTTAGCAAGTACCTATACGTTTTGTAATAAGGCGGGTTATGTTTAACTTTAATCTTAGAAATAAATTAAATGTTATATTAGAAAATACTAACTAAATTACAAAAAAAAGGAATGAACTCAAAGTCCTGTGATTCCTAAGAACTGTCATTAGGTAGTCAAATAGAAACAGTATTTATAAGTTATTTTTTTGAACTGAGAATCCTTCAAAAAACCGCGATATGACTTTTATTTTTATCAACCGACTTCAAAAAACGGAGGAGGTTCTATGTTCGACTGTATTTTTTTTATGGATGTTCACCGATTACTCCGTCAATTGTGGACCGATTTCCAAATTTTTTTTAGTCGAATGAGTCCCATTGGAACCAAGTCAGGATCTGATGGTGGAATCCGGGGAAATCGAGGGAAACCTTCAAATTTCAAAGGCACGCACGATGTTTTTTATGCATGTTCACCGATTTCTCCGTCAATTGTGTTATTGTTTACATGAACGATGAATTTTCAGTAAAAAGGCTAAATTGAAAAAAAAAATAAACAAAAAAAAACCGATTTCAAAATCATGAAACAGATATTATTTTTTACTTTTTAGTTTCATTTTCGATTTTGAAGTCGGTTTATTTTTTTTTATTTTTTTTTATTTCTTATCATATCATTACCTGGACCATGATTACAAATAAATTGATACTGAACACACTGATATTGTACATTAAAGGAGACCCGGCACTTTTCATAGAAAAAATGCTAAACTTGTATACAGTTGAATTTGGTCTCAAAATAAAGCCAAAATTATTTGCTACATAAAACTACTTTTGCCTTATTTTTAGCGAATCGTGGAAAGAAGTTATTGAATGATTAATATTTTTTTATATAGAAACCCTTTTGATGACAAACCTACGTATTTGACATTGACAGCTAGCTGCTGATGACAAATATTGCCAGACTACGTTACCCAATTATGAAACACAGATAAAAAAATTAAAAAAGTATACAACTTTGGCACAAAATGCCTGGTGTCCTTTAGCCACCTTATTAGTAAACGAAGAATAAGCTTGGATTAGTTACTCTTTGTTTTGTCTCTGTTCATTGAATTACAAATGACACTTGAGCGATATGAACAAAACACGGCGTAACTAGTCTAAGCTTATTCCTCGTTTATTAATAAGGGAGTAGTTCAACATTTACAGTGTAAAATACATACATAGGCTCCTTAAATCATAACCCTTCCTTTTGGCTTTGCCGTAGTCGGGTATATAGATAATGCATTCGCATCTTAAGCTCCTTCGTGCTTCGGAAGACACGCTAAGCCATTGGTCCCGGCTGCATCTGCAGTCGTTAGCACCTACCAATCCGCACTGGGCGTGCGTGCCGGGTCATGGCCCAATCTCCCTATATCATTAGTAGGCTTGTTATGATGAATACAATAGCTAAGTAACTATAATGATAAAAGAAGAAATTATGCCATCTCTAATTGTGTAACTTCATATATTGATCGATTTAATGATTCTGGGTTGGCTTACCATGCAAGCTCTAGAAAGGTGTAGAAATGAGGGGTTTTGTTTTCATACATTGACCCGATCGAAGGACAGCATGACAGTTTCTTTACCAAGAAAATTGACTTTGTTACTTCATTTTAATTCTGCTTACGAGTAGAGCGTAAATTAATATATCAGAATTATCCTAACTACTTAGAAATCGGACAATATAAGTAATTTACCTTCATACAATAAAACTTATTCGCAAACACAATGTCAGTGAGTGTTCAAGAATATTTGTGTTCATTTGGCTCAAGAGTAAATAGAAATATATATTTGTGTAATATAATGCTTACTTACATAGCTATTTGATCCAAAGATGGACTTCATAACATATACGTGTGCTTAAAATTCATATTATACTAGTTGCTATGGTAACTATTTCAAACGTTAGAGAAAGGTAAGACCGGTGATTTTACCGACGAATAAAATAAGTGTGAGTTGCATCACAGAGCTAGTTAAAGTCAAATTTTACTAAGACTTTAGAATGATTTGACATGTGTCAGTTAACGTTATAGTAGACCAACTCACGCTTAGTTTTTCACACCAGCATTTTTTAGATAGTTATATATGTAAAAAGTTACTTATCATGTTTAGATTTTGTCATTTCTTATTTGTCACAATTGAAATGCCTACTTACCTACATTAATAAAAACTTACATCTAAAAACAATTTCTAAATCTTACAAACTGGAAGGCGTTACGATTAATAAATATCAAAACTTGTCAAAAATATAATTTAAGCTATAACACGAACAACAGTGTGATAGTTCTATATACAATTCACATTATAATACAAAAAATAATGACAAAATATCTTACATCTCAGTTTCACTATACACTAATCTTAACATAACCTTACGAGGCGGACATCTGACGAATGAAGATGGAAATTAAACAAGAGTGTCGTTGATCATACTGGAAGTTGTGTTGGAAATTTCGTTGTGGCTTTCGCCGAACTTTTCGAGCATTCCTCTGATGGAGACGTAAGAGCCGGCAAAAAGGGCAACAAGGGCCATGATTCCGATGAAGAGATTCTTCCACAGTTTCCAGCGGAGGAAACCGAGCCCTCTGTCCCAGTTGTGGACGGTGTCAACGATGGCTGGAGTCAGCAAGCCGAGGGTAGACAGAAAGATGGCGCCACTCAAGCTGATGAACAACTCTAAGTCCGGGAATGCGGCGGCAAGGGCAACTGTAGCAAACCATATTTTAAAAGTTAAAATTGATTTTATTCAAGCATACATTTTAAGGCACAGGGCGAGTTTACAAGCTACAAGCCAGTGAGTTCGCTAGCAGTTTGTAAACTCGCCACTAATCATCAAGTAGCAGATTGTAAAAAAACCGATGACACGGGGTGAATTTACAAGCTGCTAGCGAACTCGCTGACTTGTAAAATCGCCCCATGTCATCGAGGGTCAAAGATTTTTATACTAGAAAAAAATTGTACTAGTTCCAGGAAGACTGATTACGCTGTAATCGAAATAGAGTCTTTCGCTACCCGGCAAATGCACTGACTACTTTGCTTAAGTACGTAATTTCAGTTCATATTGTAGCTTTTTAAGGTGGAAAAGATTATCAGACGTGTCGTATTTCTTCTAGTCTAAGACTACTTGTCTTAGACTGCAAAGATTTACTGATTTAAGAAGAAATTCGTTGAAACACGTCTGATAAAATTTCGTTTGCATAATGCACAGTACATTCCTTCGGAAAGCGATGAACGTTGGTTTGATTTTAGCCCGATACCTGGGCAGAGTTATTTTAATAAATAAATAATATTCTTATAATTAACAGTGCACAGTACTACATCGTCATCTCATCGTTCAACGTCATGCTTGTCATTCTCTATTCAGACTTAAAAGGGGGGTATTGATGTTGGCTTTGGATTTGGGTTTGGAGAGTAGTGCGTAATCACATGCGTGTGTCCTACTGTTGTGTTTATAGTCTGTTATAATAATGTACATTGGTACTTATATATTTTTTTCTATTTTTCTAACATGGTATCCATAAGTGGTAATGAGAAGTCATGCTTTCTTAAACATCTCTTCTGTGTCTGTGAGTGAGGCGGGTCGTTGCGTTCCTTAAAAAATGGTTGAGCGAAGCGATTGCTGGTTCATGCGTCATGCTCGTGAGCGGGTACTTCCAGCGGAGATGAGTCTGCTCTTGCTACATTGGGTACTATTAATCGTTGTACTTAACTTAAATCGTTCATTATTTATGCCTAAACAGTAGGACTCGGCATTCCTAAACTTTGTTAAACCAGTTTTTTATATTTTTTTATTTTATAGTCATAATTTTTATATTATTTACATTTGTAATAGAAAGTGACTTCATGAGTTACCTCATATTGAAGTATTTTTTATTTATTTCACGACTCTGTTTAAAATACAGGGAAAACAGCCCTTGCTGAGTTTTTGCCGGTTCTTCTCAGTACAAGGTCTCCCGCCGTAGATTTGCGAACCGATGGCGTAGCTTTTCGACATTCACAAGTGCTTGTAACAGCCTAGACTGATTAAACGATTTTGATTTTACTTTTCAAGTTTTAAACAATCCCACCCTTTATCTTTAAAATAATTACGAATTAAAAATAATTTTCGGTTAAGTTATTTCTTTGTTCCATTAAGAATACCTGAAATCACGAAAGAGGAATAAAGAAACAAGAGACGTGATTGTCTATGTGAAACTGGAGGAACCATAAAATTATACAATTTCAAGAGGAGTTACCGCTCAATTTGAAGCACCCGTCTTTCGCCATAAAGAAGTTGCAGTGAAATAACAATATATTTTGGTCGTGTTTTGTTTCTATTGATGATTAAATAGGGTATTTGACAAGTTTTAGAAAGCGATCTCACGTTATTGACTTATGTTTATGGAGTCCGTAAAAAGTGGATATAAATCATTCTGTTGTGTATTTCAGTAAAAATAACCAAATCAAAAACTCCATTTTCAAGTTGCCGCGAAAACGTTTTTCTGGACAATATGGCGTTTTACTAGTGTGTGACGTCAGACGACTGTTATTAAAATGTCAAACGATACAATTTAATGTCACTTTAACCGGAAGTTTACTTGCGTGTGACGTCATTTTAGGCTCCGCCAATCCCAAGCGTTTTGGGTCACGTGACAATAGATGAGAAAACTATTATCTTTTTCGTGGGTTTTTAGTAAAATTATGATTTTTTTTTGCAAAAGTAGTAAAAACCCCTGCCAATAATCATTCTAAACACATATGCTAACAATTGGCACTTTATTTTTAATACTTTCAAATACCTTATTCTAGAGATCCATACTTTGGGGTATTCAAGCAACACCTCGCGTGTCACCGTATCGCAAGTATTTGTAGACTCTACGCAACGTTTATCTTTTGCTTGACTCAATTTCAGATATTTTGAAATGTAAATTGCTAATCCGATTTTTGGTACAAATCTTCTGCTTGCCTGAAATTTCGGTGTACAAAAAACGTACGTACGTACGTTGAATAAAAATATATAAAACCAGTTGATTGTATGTACCATGTTACAAGCAGAATAAATTACTTTGTTTGATTTGAACTATTCTTACGCCTATGTTTTATATCTGCGATATAATAATGTTCTTTAACCCAATGCGTTTTATTTTATATCCGCCCTAAAAGTATTGTATTGAATTATTGATTTGCGTCAAAATATAAGAAATAAATACAAAACATATAACTCACCTGAACCAACAACGGCTAATGTCCTGATACTGATCTGGGTCAAGTCATGATATCGCACCGAGATTCTGTTCTCCAACTTCCTCCAAATCATCTCCATGGGTACGTAGAACTGAAGACTGTACGTGAAAAGGATCGCAAGTGCCATAAGAATTTTAGCACTTTGGGCAAGACTGAAAATTAAAATGATATTTTATTTATCCACAACTGAATTTACCATAATTATATTGCATTATTAAATAAATACGTATTGCGTTTTTTTAAAATTAACTACTAAATAAAAATATTGACGATTTTCAGTGCAAGGTTTATTTCAATAGATAAATCTTGTAGTGTTTTTTTTTATCAACAGTACGATGTGAACTCACATTTCATCCTGAGGTAAATTTAAAGTGACACTGCCTCTAACATCGTCTCCGTATTTCATGTAGCCAAAGAATCCGACCAAACCGTACAGGGAGATCACAATTGTCATTGCGACGTTCAGCACGCCAGGACACCCTAAGAAGTGCTGCGGTTTCGCCATGTCATTCTCGACGGGCATCACGACGCCAATGCCTTCCATCGCAAATATAACTGTGCTGAAATTGGCAAAAGATTCAAAGTTAACAAGAATTATTTCAAAAACCTTGCCCGTAACTTTTTATAAGATTTGTGGCTTTTAGCGTAATTGATGTATTTTATTTCCAAGTTTATGTATCAAGACATTGTATGTCTGAATAACAAAATTGGACGATTATAGTAATTGCTTCATTATTATTTTAATTAAATTGGAACAGTAAGTTATGTTTACTGATTTGCGTTCAGTCCAAGCTGTCAGCAATTCGAATTGCAAGACATTCTTATGTATTTGCAACCTGTTATTCACTTTGGTCATTATATTGTCATCTTATAATGTTATCATAAAATATCATCTAGTGCCATACTTTTCTAACCATTTAAGTTCTTCTTCAGATTTTAATCAAGTAATTCAAAAAATTGGAACAAACCTCATGAACAGAGGCCATTGTGTAACTTTGGCGACCATATCCCTCTCTGTAGGATTTGGTAAATCAGTAAAGATGTAATACATGGTGATGCCGAAGCACACTACGAGGAGGACGTTAGCGATGGCAGAAAACGGCACCAGCCATTTGAGGTTTCTTATTTGGCAGATCAGGACGAGTGGCACCAGCGTCAACGCACAGTAAGTTTCGACAGACAACTTGTACTCCGGCCAGTATTCGTCTAAGACCTGAAAAATGTAAAGGGAAATTATATCTGCGACATTGCATAAAATGATACTTTTTCAGACAGATCTGTTTTTCATATCTTTACCAAGCTTGGTCTAGAAGCTTCTAGAATTCACTGTTTATTTAAGAAATAGCAATCGTTTTTGATAATTAATGGGTCACTACTTTTCGTCGGAATTGTTATTCATCGGCCTTTGTTTAAGGCTGACGTAATTAAAGAATTTGCAATATTTAGAATTCTTTAAGTTTTTCGCCATTTAAAAAGTACGACTCGTGTGGAATTGAAAAAGTGTAATTTGATCACATCAATTATGAAATTATGGGAGTTTATTTTCTAGAATCCATATAAAGCAAGGAGCCCAAGTTTCTAGAATTCTGAGTCTAGACTTGTATTTCTAGTTTGTACTTTGGTACTATCTCAATAAGCTAAACAGATAGCCCATCAATAAGTTTCACTTACATATCAATATGTTAGACGCATCTGTAGCAAGCAATACTTATAAGTTGTGGGTAGAGAATTTAAAAAAAATACCCAGTAAGCTGGTATTTTGAGGTAAAAGTATTTTTTAGCGAAACATTTTAGGTCTTTCTAATATTTGGACCTAGAAACTTAAAAGCTTATATCTCTATATATATTTATATTGAAATAACATGACTTTAAATATTTTACTAAGATTATTTTTAAACGTTTGGAAAAAACTTTATTAAAGCTGCAAAGACCTACATAGTAAATTGATGAAAGTATATTTTTATTATTATTACTTAACCTTAACTAATTGAGTTTAGAAAAAAACCTTAATTAAACTATAATAAATACAAGTTTATACTCTGCCAAAACATTGTAGATGCCCTCCGTGGTCGAGTGTTTTGTACGCCGGGTTTCAAGGTTTCGCCTATTCGAGAGTGTGTGATGAATACGAGCATTTGTACTTCAGTCATGGTTGTTTAATATGTATTTCTATATAAATATATATCAGTATATGTATTCTATCCGTTACCTTAGTATCCCATAGCACAAACCTACATTGCTTACTTCGGGGCTAGGCTAGTTGGTATGTGTTGGAAATATATTTAAAAAAAAGTTGGTTCAGCTATAGATGCAGAACGATATATAAGTATTTGAGAGAATACAACTATAACTGATTAATGAGTTAGCTTAAATTAAATAATGTGAAATGGTAAAGTTTTTAGTAAATAGCAACAGTATTTTAGTACACATTAAAAAAAAAACAAAATTAAGTTCATTATTTTATGAAGGCAATTGCTTTCAACCTATATGGTCTGTTTGTTTGCAATATTCATAGACAATAAACCTCATGATTAATGTAAGTTAAAGTAGGTTACCGATGCTTCAGAAACAGTCAAAAAAATATAGTGACTAAATAAGTGTTTTATTAGAAATCTAAATATTTGTGTTCAACGGAAATGGCGATATTTCCACAAAATAAGATGACATATAAGTTATTGCTTTTCAAATATTCTGTTCACGATATCGACTGGAGCGGGATTCAACGACCTCAGAATCTTAGACGGAAGTCGTACCAAATTGTAGCCTTGCAACCCTTATTTTTACTCTAATTTCCTGTAGAAAAATTTTCTCTATAACTGTTCCTTATGTGAATGATAACAACGAGGAAGGATAAAAGTGCGAACATTATTTGTCTTATTACTAAAAGGGGAAATAAATTGAAGTAATTTATTATTACTTTTCAAAGCTTTTTGATAGTTCTCCCATTTTCGGAGAAGCAAAGGTAATAAATACATCGATACGGTCGATGCGTACAATTTTCTTTTTTTTCTATACAGTTCCGATATACGGTGGTATTGTTCTGAGTAATGACGTCATTTATTTTCTTCGGCACAAGTACTTAAGCTGCTTGCTTTCCATCAGGGAAATGTATGTGGTAATGTGATTGTAACAAATTAGTATGACCGAGGAAGGCTCGGAGAAGCTTGATGGCCCGGTGATTAGCGCGTTCCGTTTGCGATTGGCGAAGTTAAGCAACTTCAGCGATGGCTGGTCATTGGATGGGTGGCCGAAAAAATATTTTTAGCCCTCCACGCTTCTAATGCTGTGGCCACACTAATGGAAATGCCATTAATGTACTCGTATGTCAAGGACGCACGCGATCTTATTGCAGCTCTGAGGTAAGCACACACTAATCCGCACAGGGCCTGCGTGGTGGGTCATGGCCCAATCTCACTTTTCCATCCAAAGAAGGCCTGTGCCCCAGCAGTGGGGTCATTAATAGGCTGATGATGATGATGAGTGACAACAGTATTAGTCTGATGAGAAAATACACTTTCATTGTCAATTAGAACTCACTATTGTAACGAAGGGTTTAAATTATCTCAAGCACTGACCTCCTTAAAGTTCTCAGCAATGAACACAATGTAGACGCAGAGAGCGGCCAAATATGTACACGTCAACGCATAATCTGTTAGTGTCCTGAAACAAAGAGAATGAAATATTGAGATTTTCACTGTGCGTTGCAACATGAGGCTTTCAGATCGTCAGCCTAAAAAGTGATAAATATTGAAAATAATATCTTTTACTCATATTTTATAGTAAAATGTTCCAATATGGCGGTTAACATTATCTTATTTACTTTTCAATTGGTATTGGTTGATATGACCATTTTGAATCAAACGGTTCCAGTCTACACCTCATCCGCAGTCGGAAGTATTCAAAAGTCTTTTTATGTATATATTTTTAGCAACAATGAATCGTCATAGTTCTAAATTAATTTTGTAATTTATAATGTTAGGATATGAAGGCTGGCATATCCTTTATATTAGGTAAAAGCTTCTAAATAAATAAGTTTGCAAAAAAATAACTAAAACTCATCAATAAATGGCGTCTAGGACTTATAACTACAGCGAAATATTTTATTTAGTTACTTTATTAACCATTAAGATAGCGAGAAGAGCGAATTCTCCGGACCGAGATCTCAACCATAGTGCATGGTGCATTCTGCTAGCGGCGAGCAGCCCGAGGGCTAGTCGGTGCAGGTCTTTGTTTTTCCTCCGTGGTGCAGGTATACTTTGACGTGCGCTCACACAAGCGTAGCGGACATTAAACCTCCCCGCCTCCGACTGGCAGCCCGGCTCGCACCCTCTTCAGCCGATCCTGGACTTCTTCGTTCACAGCGTCACTTAAATAGTCTCACGGACCGTAGACCAAGCGGCTAGCCAGCCGGCCTGCTCCCGTACCTACCAGGTAAACTAACTCCTCGATCTTCCCTTCACCCTCCAGGCGTAACTGCCGGGTTCAGTTATGAGTCGCCGTTTATCACGCCTGGCACTTGATCCTACTTAATATGAAAGTGACGGTACTCACCTGGCGAAGTTAGCCCAAGGCCTCAGCTTCTTGGGGCCAAACTCGAACGCTGCCCCGCACGTCTCCGCGAATCCCATGGATGGTTTCTTTGCGTCCACGCATACTTCTTGAGAGGTTTTCACCTGTTACCAAACAAGTACTTTTCATTTCTATTTTATTTTATTCAGGACAAAAAACAGTGGCACAATGTTCATTAGACAAACAGTATTGTAATACAGTTGACACTTTAAATTATTGTACGACCAACTTCATTATCCACTAATAAGAATCTACAAAATACATATTATTGCGCTTCTTTAAGATTTTCTGTTAATACAGTAGGTACTAATAAATTAACAGAACATAAATTTAGTAACTGAAAATAATAACATGACCCCTCAATCAAACCACACTGCTAGTTGAACTAGTATAGAAATAAATATATATTTAAGTTATTTTTAAAGCCTAAGTGTGTCAAAATCTTACCAGGATGCAAGTCTTACCGATGTATATCTAGTATATTCACCCTCTTTAAATGTCAACTTCTTCAGTTCCTTTGAGCAACTCTTGGCAGATTTGGTTTCATCTTACAGCCATTCTTTGATTATGGGCGATTTTAATACATGCCTTTTGAAAAATGATTCTCGTACAGCTTCTCTTCAATCCATTATAAACTCTTGTAATTTCCACATTCTTCCCCTAAACGCCACCCATCACTTTCCAAACATGACTCCCTCGCTTCTTGGCCTTATAATTGTGTCTTCTCCTCATCGTGTGATGAAACACGGTCAATGTTCGCGTGTCCGCCTCGAGGACTCGTTTTCTTCATGGTGTGACACGTCTGCTGGCGTTCCTCAAGGCGGCGTCATATCTCCTCTTCTCTTCGCTGTATTGATTAATTCAATCTCTTATAATATTACTTCTTCCTACCACCTATACGCAGATGACCTTCAAATTTATCAACAAGCGCCCATTGATCAACTTGGTAATGCAGTGCTAGCCACAAACAGTGATTTGAGTAAAATATTGGAGTGGAGTAAATCTTTTGGGTTGGAGGTAAATCCGGCTAAATCAAACAGTATTATTATTGGAAGCTCCAGGATGATCGCCAAAGTTGACTGGCAATCACTTCCCAAAATTCATCTCGCTGGCACCATCATTCCGTTCAGCATCTCAGTAAAAAACTTAGGTTTAACCATTGATTATATGAGTTGGGGTCCCCAGATGCAAGTGCTCAGCCGTAAACTGTTTGCTTCCGCAGCTTCGCTGAAGAGACTACTCAATTTCCTACCCACTACCACCGAAATTTCCCTAGCACAGACTCTGATGCTTCCTATTCTCGATTATGCTGACGTCTGCTATCTAGATCTCATGGAGGACCAACTTGATATACTTGAGCGGCTTCAGAACTTCTGTATTAGATTCATATTTGGCCTGCGCAAATATGATCATGTATCTCAATTTCGATTACAGCTCAAGTGGCTATTACCTATTCGCCTTCGCCGGAATACACACATCCTTACTCTTCTGTATAACATACTGTTCAATCCTTTGTCCCCACGCTATCGTAAGGAATGTTTTAATTTCCTTCACACTTCGAACACATTGTCCCTAAGGTCATTAGAAAATCTCGCTCTCATTACTCCTGTTCACTGCACAAATTTTTATGGCCGTTCTTTCGCAGTACAAGCCGTTCGTCTATGGAATGCTCTTCCAGTTTCCATAAGACGTGCAAAATCTCTCCACATTTTCCAAAACCTTGTTAGATCTCACTTTAAGTCCTTGTAACCCTTCCATTTTTGTTTATCTTAGCTGAATGAATTAGACCTAGGTATGTTTGTAATTATGTTTATATTTATGTATATGTACGTATATATATTTATGTATATGACTTTGTATGTATTCTTGTAGGTATATAATCATATGTATTGTTTTATATACTTATTTTGATTATATTTGTTAGAAGAATTTTTATATTGTTTTGTAGTTAATTACACCGCCGTCTCTCCAGCTTCTTTCCTGTCCTCTTCATCCTAAGGTTGTCTTGAAGAGATCGCTCTTAGCGATAAGACCGCCCATTATTACACTGTATTCTTTAATTGTGTACTTCATGTTTTATGTTTTCTGTGGTGTAAAAATAAAGAGTTTTGTATTATATTGTATTCACTTAGATACTCCTGAATCTGAAAGTTGAACGACTAATACTCTTAAACTAACTAATATATCTTTACCGTTATACTTTTCTTTAACAGTTCATAAAAAGTTCTATTATCATCAAATTTTCCAGGTTTTTCAAACCAATAGTTTAGCTTTTAGCGGGGGGGGGGGGGGGGGAGGAAATCATCCCCAGGTTACATGTAGGGGAGCTACCCTAAAAAGTCCAAATATCTCTAAGAAAAACCGGGGACGGACAGACGGACATGACGAAACCATAACTAAATCAAAATTCATTAATCACAACAAATTACAGAAAGAATGAATTTATAGAAATAATAACACAATTAAAATCAAATTACAATAAAATTAAATAAAAGGAGATGTCACATTAGCTTATTTTTAAAGTTGCGAATGCCACCCACGAATAAGTCCTAATCCCTCATTCAGCTCTTTGATAATTCGATTTATAGGCGCATTTTGGAAACGATATCTTATCTGGGCAGTAAGATTTTACAAAAATATTAAATCTTGAAGAGCCAGGGAGTTTAATGGAGCAAAAAATCTCAGTGTGTACTAACTCAGGAGTATCTAAAATGCCATTTGCTAGTTTGTAAAGAAATAACAAGCCCAGCATGCGTCTTCGACCCCAAAATGAACACATTTTAAAAAGACTCTCAATCTTTTCTTATAATTGAGAACTGTCCTACTCAGATTACAGGAGTATGTAAGGTGCCATAGAAATGGCTTTTGTATGCACTCCAGTCATATTATACACATATACTTCATAAAATGGATTCTGGATCACACTGAAGAACCTCTAAAGCACTGCGTACAAAGGTATTCAACAAAAGATTCTTAGTTTTAGTAGATATAAAATCCGCTGCAATACCGCAAAATGAAACCAAGGTACTTAAACCCTTTAGAGCAAATCTTATCAATATGAATGTTAAATCCTAATTTGCTATCCAACCACACTCCCACATCTTTCACAGTGTCGGTGTCCTGTAAAACTTCGTTCGCAATTTTATACCTACAAATGGTCAGAATTTTATGAAGTGAAATAGTACATTACGATACGCGTGAGACCACAAGTATCGTATACTATTTTATAGAAAGTGTGACATAAACCTGCCCCGGATGCGGGCAAGAGTGGGGGTTCGGGGGTTTTGAAAGTAAAATTCATGTATTGCAATCACAAAGAATTGCAATACAGACTGCAAGTCAAACTCTGAAAAGAAAGAATTCCGGTTCAGATTACCATTTTGAAAGTATATTTCAAATGGAAAAAATCAAATATCATTACAACAAAATAGAATTTCAATGTATCCATGAACGTTTATTCCTTGATTGGCATAACAATATATTAAACAAAGATACAATTCTCGCGGAATGAATTATAGCTAACCGTTTCTCCTTGTTTTGGCTGTCACTGAAAATCCCTAACCTATAGCTAATTTGTCATTTGTTTGCTGTGAGTTTTTAAGCTCCAAATGACATTTAAATGTGTTTCCTTTTATTTTTTCTACATGAGTGAAGTTGGTCAATTCATTTACACACCGTGCAGAAATAGGCAACTTAGGTCACGGAAAAGCGTGCGTAAAGTGCGGGTTTAGGTCACACTGTGCTATAAACTTCTTTAGCGGCATTGTACACTTTTTGTAATTGGTAAAAAATGTTAAACTCGCGCCAGGATACGTGACCTGATCAAAAAACCGTAAGACGAAAACTTCTTAAGCGGCGTTGTACACTTTTTTTGTAATGGGTAAAAAATGTTAAACTCGCGTCAGGACACGTGATCTGGTCGAAAATTCGTAAGACGGATTTAGAGTAGACAGCTGGCGCGGCGTAGGAGAGGAAGTACTAAACATGGGCTATGTCATTTCGGTTATCCTAAGAAACAGTGCTTGGTATTATCTTCAAAATACTCATAGACTAGAAAGACTTAATAGACTTCTTATTATTTTAAAATCAGGCGGTTGGGGCATTTTGCTTTTTTCATTCATAAAATATTAATAAACAAAATAAATTGTAAAACTGAATTTCATCAATATTCCAATATTTCCAATATGCAATTTGTTTTAAATTCAATTTTGCTCACATAATTTTATAGTTTGAACGATGAAATACGTGACGCACGGGTATATGGTAGCGACAGGAGATTTAACATGTTAAATTTAAAATCCATTTACGTAAACTGATAATTTTACAAGTACATTACGATCATATTTATTTTTGTTTAATATAGGTCATCTTAAGAGTACAACAGGCATACTACAATCTCTGATTGCGAACCAGTTAAGGTTTCTAAAATAAAATGCTTCGGTAATTTAACCTCCGGGATATGCTTAAAGATATTCCTAAAAACTTTTCGGTCTCTTGAAATACTCGAATATGCTGTCGATCAAGCACGGACCACACGTCTGAAGTGAAACTTCTTTTCTGAAATAACCTAACATTAGGTGGTGGATAAGGCATAGGGGAATGGAGCAGCGCACGCATCACTCATATATATATATATATGTATATATATATATATATATATATATATATTTATTTATTGTCACGTGTGATACTGGTGACGCTCTTAGCGTTTCAGCCTTCGACGAGTTACCCTCCAACTATCATGCTCGTCGGGAAGAGCTACGCTACTCGTGTGGTTTTTGTCTCCCATTAACATAAGGTTGGCTGAAGTCATTAGCACGATCTTTTACGAAACACATTAATGCTAATCCCTTGTTTATACCAATGTAAGTAATACATGTATTTAACAATTTTTATGCAATGAGGAGCTCGATGGTGCAGGTGGTTACCGTTGTTCGGCTGCAATCGTTGAAGTTAAGCAACTTTCGCAGTGGTCGGTCATTGGATGGGTGACCAAAAATCTTCTATCTCGAGTTCCTCCGTGCTCCGAAAGGCATATTAAGCCGTTGGTCCCGATTGCATCCCAGTCGTTAGCATCCTCCAAGCCGCACTGGGCCCGCGTGGTGGGCCATGACCTAAGCTCCCTATTCCATCCATAAGGAAAGCCTGTGCCTCAGCAGTGGGGACATTAATAGGCTAATAATGATGATAATATCATAATCTAAACAAACATTTGTACTCACCAGAATATACACGCAATGAGTGCATATAAATCCAACGATGATGGTACCGATCGCTCCGAACGCCAGGCCTGCGTTTTTGAAGGCGGCCGGCATCGCCAGGATGCCTGAGCCCAGGGACGACTTCAGCAGATGCACCAGAGAGCCTACAGTCCTGTAAAAGATACGTTGAACTTTAGTCTTTTTTTTCTTTGTATAACTAGTTTCAATATTCCAACTTTGTTCTGCATCTATTGGCACTGGTTGTGGTATTTTGATAGCTTCGTAATCATATAGTCATCGTAATATTTTGTATGCAAAAAGCTAGTTTGTTCGTCTGATCTGTTTTTTTTTGAGTGTGTATGCTGTTGGTCGCAGATGACCTTTAAGCGTCACCGGGTTTGGGGACGGCGAGATCCTAAGGGGACCTCAAGCCGAGAATTGGCGAATGCCTCTAGAGGTATTCCAGGCGGATGGCATCTTCCCACAGGGGGAGTCTCCTCTCCGTCGGGAGCTTCTAGACTCAACTAGATGGCGTCTCTTTTTGAGACTCGGACCTAGGCTCTAGTTTGCCGTTGTCGAGGGGGGCGGGGAAAAACGCCCAGGTACGTACCTGTACCTGGTATAGCGTGACGTGTGTAGACCGGGTCTTCGCACTCTTATCCTTCGGGTGCGTTGTCTGCCTAGTACTAAGCTCGTGTGCAACACTTTTCATAACGCGTAACGCATTCGCCAGCTTACCCCCCAAGCCAAGCGTGCATAAAGAAATTTCTCTTCAAAAAAATGACCGAAAATAATGTCCACATAGGGAACTGATACTTAAACCTGGGGGCTCTCTCTTTCTACGAAACAAACTTTCGGTTACGATGTAAAATCAATTTTCGATCGAATTAAAACTAGGCCTCCTATTACGGATGAAAGCATTTTTAATAGTTACATTGTAACACGAGCACAGCCAAGATCAATGTTGATTGATTTTTTCAGAGCCTTACATTTCTTTTTTTCTCCTATAGTCTCAAACTCAGCATAGTTAATATAACAGAGGCTGAATATTAGATGAAGACACATCACATTATCACAAATGTACACGATCATCATAGAATCTTTATATTAGGATTCAGAAGGTACATTCATATATACACGTCTGTTTATAATGTACTTATGCATAATATTCTTCAACGTCGCGTTAGCAACGTAGTAACATAGTATTGAAATGTACTCGTACATTCAGCCACAAATATATAAATAGACAAATAAATTTTAAGATGTAGGGACCTAGCCTAAATACACACCATAATAATATGAATCTTTTTGGATTGTCAGAGCAGAGGAGCTCGATGGCGCAAGTGGTTAACGCGTTCGGCTGCGATCGTTGAAGTTAAGCAACTTTCGCAGTGGTCGATCATTGGATGAGTGTTTGCTTTCTCGCGCCCCTCCATGCTTTGGGAGGCACGTTAAGTGTGTAAATGTGCACATTTATTGTTGTGAATTGTGTATTTTAATGTGTGTTTGTATTTATGATTTTATTTATTTTTTAAGCATTTGACTGCTAGATGTTTAAATCTAAAGAAAAGTTTACTAGAAAAAGTGTGTTTGTATGTTTGCCAATAAAGTTAATGAATTATTTAATTATGCAACCTGTTTATTTAAATAATATATTCGTCGATTTCCTTTCTTAAGCTGCATCTTTGATATCCTGCCAACCCTTTAAGTAAGATAGAGGCATTTATGTATGAGTTTATTAGCTAATTCTGAAGTTGACTGTACCAAATAGGTAAATCAATACATTATTCCTCTGTCAAATAATTTTGTTTTCAGCATAAAATAGGAATAAATGATTTTTTAGAACTTAAAATCAAAATTACGAATAAAGATTTTCATGTTCATGCCACATGTTAGAACTGATATGTAAGTAAATGTAAATTAAATGCAAAAACCTTGCATAATCAAGCAATTATTTAATGGAAAATCGCAAGTCAAGATAGGTCTAGGCAAACTAGTGAATTTAGAACCGGTACAGCGTAAATAATATGGTTTTGTGCGGCGCAGAATGCTTAGTCGCACAACGTCTTGTCATCGTTTACGTTTGCAAAGCAATATCCATGGAGGTCAGTCATAGGATGGGTGACCAAAATTTTATTTTCTTCGTTCGCTTCTTTTACAATTCTAAAAATCTAAAGAAAACTTTACAAATCATATCGCAGTATAAAACTGTAGTGTTGATCAAGAGACCTTTAAAAAAAAACAACACGCTTCATAACAGGTACAATTTACAAGTCTGCGCTTTGAAAACTATTTAAGTATTTTATGACATTTGTAACATGAAAATAGGTTGGTCAGGGTAGGCAACGGTGTGAGTGATATTTTTTATATCGTAATCGTGTTTCGATAGGCTATGGTGGCCGCTTACCATCAGTGCCATTCCCTGCCCTCCACGACAATCCCCGCCCCCCACGCCAACTCCTAACTAGAGTCGAGGCCCGAGTATCAGAGAGGCCCTCTAGTTGAGCCCTGAGACACCCTCAGGCTCGAGTGGTCTAGAGGCTCCAGACGATGAGGAGACTCCTCCCATAGGGAGATGCCATCCGCCTGGAATACCTCTAGAAGCACTCGCCAATTCTCGGCTTCAGGTCCCCTTAGGATCTCGCCGTCCCCAAACCCGGTGACGCCGTAAAGGTCATATGCGACCAACGGCATACACATTAAAAAAAAAAAACAGTGCCATGTTATGCTTGTTTGCCCTCCTTTTAACATAAAGAAAAACATTCCGTTTCATTGTTTGCTTATAAGCATCTGCACTTAAGCTTTTAAATAAAATAAAATACGTTTCCTGTTCTTTTGGTAATCTTTCGTTGAGTAGGTACTGATGTTCTTATTACCCTTTGGGTACATTATTAGCCATTAACACCCGCTAATTAACACTGTCTGCGGTCGTTAACACCCCTGTTTACACGAATCTCTTCTATTTATTACACACAAGAGACATCGACTAGGTTTTCTTACAATTAATTTACTTGAATACAAATAAACGTAGACAAATCCTCGCGCCGTAGGTCGGATACTTATTACGAGAATTACAATCGTTCAAGGCTGTAAAACAAAACAAATGATACAGAATGGCAGATGTGGGATCTCTTAACGTAGCTTCTATCAAACGCAGCGTTCGGGTTAGTGTATTAGCCAAATGAATAATAAATAAAATTTTCGTCTTATACAAACATCAATACGCCTATAGCTACAAAGTAAAGAAAGAGATAGATAAAATAAAAAGATATATTTTTGTAAACATTTATTGCACAAAGGTCTCTTGTTTGTCATACAAGGGACTACTACTACTCTACCGGGGCTCGAACAGAGGATCATAGAGTCCATTCCTAATATAGCTGAAATTCCCATACGCGTGTATTTATTGTGCGTGTGTTTAATGCGTTCGGTCGGCAGTAGAGCCGGCATTCCGAGTCTATTTTTTTGTGCTTACAGTCACACCAGTCAGTGATTGCTTCGTTTTTGTGAAGTGAATAATGTTATTGTGTGAAAACTTGGAATCAATATCCAAAAAAATATTTCTTCACTTATTTTTTTTGCGATTGTGGTCAAACGCATTGCCTATTTTGCATAAAAAAAACTTTTTTTCCAGTGGAGCCGGTATTCTGTGTTTGTTTTTTTTTGTGCTTGCAGTCACACCAGCTAGTAATTACGCCTACATCCATGACCTTAGCGCTCACGGTCTTTGTGTTGGTTCGCTGCAAATACCTACCAAGTGATGTTTATTCATGACTAACATAGTAGCTGAGAATTGCTGGCATAACAGTAATTTAGCAACTGAAATACACCAAAGACACCTTTCATGTTTTGATGTGAAACATCTAAATCGGCGGGTGTACTAGGGGTTGTTGAATGCCAACAGTCAATGTAAATATTTCAAGGTTTATGCTGAGATGATTAAACTGGATGGTGTTTACGTAAAGGATGCCTGGATGCCTTTAAGTTTTTATGTAATCTTTGCTGGGAGATTGGAAAGGACGGACTGGAGGCGCGCAGGCTTCGTTCCCTTGTATAAAGGCAAGAGATGGCGCACTATAAAGCTATTAGTTTGATCAGATTAGTGGCGAAGTTGTACGGGAAAATCATTTAAAGGAGAATTAGGATGAAATCCGATGGAATGCTGTGGGAGGCACAGCGGCGATTCCGGAATAGAAGCATGCATGGATCAAGTTTTCTCGCTCCGCAATATCGTGGAGAAGTATCCTCCGCTGCGCCGGAAGATTTGTGGATCTTATGAAAACATTTGACAGAGATGTGCTCTTGGAAGCCCCGAAATTTAACGCCGAGAGATGGGATTTATTAAGGCCCTGCTGCGTGCTGTGTAATCAACTTATGAAGGGAAACGTGAAGTGGAACTTACGAATTCGGATGTGGCACGTTTCGGTGCTCGAACGGTTTGTACTCCTTTTCATTGATGACTTCTTTAGATCCAAGACTTAGCGTAGACTGGAAACCTGGGTTCGCCGCTAAATTTGCCCTGTAAAAATGAATTAATATGAATTTTATTGTTCTTGTCAAGGCAATTTTGATAATATAATAGATACTACGTAATAAAGATGCTAATGATGTCGTAGAAAAAAAAATCACGCGGACCAGGCAGCGGAAGGGACTCGAACCCGCACCCTTCGCAATCCGGGCGGGCCGTGGTAGCATAATGGTCAGTGCATTCGCCCGGATTGCGAAGGGTGCGGGTTCGTGTCCCGTCCGCTGCCTGGTCCGCGTGGATTTTTTTCTAGTAAACTTTTCTTTAGATTTAAACATCTAGCAGTTAAATGCTTAAAAAATAAATAAAAACATATCTGTAACTTAGTTATTTGTTTGGTACTGAATCTAAATTAATTTAAGAACTTAGTAATTTCTGAGAGGCAAGTTTTATTTGGTATCTTTCTTTTATCTGCTTCTTTTAAAATGTAGATTGCAATCTGAATCTAATGTATTTTAATGCACATTCTTTAACTCAATTGTTGTGCGGGTATTTTTTATCAAATACGAAGTGAGAGTGAATTTTAAATGAGACGAGGGTTTGTTATTTGCTAAGTATTTACATTGTATGAAAGCGACATGCTGCAAAGGGAAAATACAATTTCTTTTTCATCGGCTCGGTATTTTGTTGAAAAGTTTTTATTTTCTTTTTGTGCCTCAAATGCACGCAATAGAAAAACCAACAAATGTTGGGAAGGTTAAAAAACCAAATAGATTTGTTGAAATGACGGCTGTGGTTCATACCAGTATCTCATTGATAAGCCTGTTCTAGGGGTTCCGTACCTCAAAAGGATAAAAAACGGAACCCTTATGGAATCACATACAATCACACACATATCATTTGTCAGTAGGTATGTCATGACCCTTAACCTCAAAAACGCAAATTTAAACCATGTATTGAGGTCTATAATCCCTTGAAGCTGAGTAAGAATCAAACTTCTAAGTCAACTAATAAAAAAGATAAGGTTGTAGTTCTGTCTGTCTGTCAAGAGCCTTCATCTCAGAAATGCTTGGAGGTATCGAATTCAAATTATGTACTCAGATTTGTAGTCCCTTGAATCTGTGTAAAAATCACACCTCTGAATTAACTAATAAAAAAATACGGCCGTTTATCTGTCTGCCTGTAAGACCCTTTATCTTGGGAACATGTAAAGGTATTCAGTTGAAATTTAAACCATATACTCAGGTCTACGGCCTCTTATAGCTGTGAAAAAAACTTAAAAAAATCCAACCATAGGGGATGACTGATTGTTCACTCACAGATTTGGATACCGAGTTGTATATTACAAAAATTATAGCCACAAAAAATTGTACAATAAAAACTTTTTAACAAAAAAAAATTACCGCCGAAATGTTAAAAATAATGATACTTTCTATCATAAGTCAAATTAATATTTGGAGTTGGTGCCGTGCAGGTCTGATAGATCTGAGTTCCCATTTATGGTTTGACCTGGCACTGGCGCCGACTCCAAATATTGATTTGACTTGAAGATAAAAAGGTTTAATATTGTTACTTTTCGGCGGTTAAATTTTAAACTGAAAGGCTCAGGTCAATTCCTAAAATAGTTAGGTTTTATTACCGTTACTTTTCATTCTGTTTCATCAACAACTAATAAAAAAGATAAGGTTGTAGTTCGGTTCTGTCCTACAACTGTTGGGATAAAAACCCAATTCCCTGTTCTCTTGGGATAAAATCCCAACCCCGAGCACACACTGCAAGACCAACAGATATTATTAGTTCTTTTTGTTTGCATGATTTAACATAAGAAGAGTTTGTTGCGCCGGTTCTTCTCAGTAAGGCCTCCCAATTTTGGAACCGGTGGTAGTTTACGGTAGTTGGGGTCAAATAAATAAACTCAAAAATCCGAAAAAGGATTTAAATAAAGTACTTTATTAACTAAATTAACAAATAAATTCATACATAGACAATAAAGCTTTAAAATTTTTTCAATGAAACATCCGAACGCTCAATGAAAGTCTTTCGAAGGTAGCTCGACTAAAGTAAATAAAAAATCATTATTCTGACGATGCAGACCTGAAAATGCTGCGAAACGTTAATAAATAAATAAAGTTCGTGCATTAACCCGTTAAAACTAGTTTTATTTAATGAGTGATGTGTGTGAAAACCTAAGAAACAAATTTTCTAATCATATATTATTACAAACCATTTCAGTATAACGTATTTCACTACTGCGAGAAAAAAGTGACCAACATTTGCAACCTTTAAATATTCTTGAATCTTAATTACATTTTGGCCCATAATATATCTTTTGTACTAGTGAGACTCCAGGGAAAATCGACTTCACATGACAATGAATGTTTTGGAAAAATTAAACATTCCTACTAGCTATGGGCAGTGAGGAAGACCCTGTCCCCGTAGGCCCTCACGACTTATCTAGTCTTTGCTATACATAATTATACTTAGTTGTACCTAGTATAGCACAAAGTCTGCAATTTTATTATAATCTACTTCGTTTGACATATGAAACTTAATTATATTACCTCTAATGGTCCTTACTCACATACGGTTATCCTCGATCGAGAAAATACGTCGAGTAAAAATCGAGGCAAGGACTTTCATCCCCACATTTGGTTTTCATTTATCGAGTGGCACGCGACGCTTGCACTTCACCAAAACGTTCGAGCCAAAAGATCTGCTTCTTTTATTTTTATTTATGTTAAAAGGGTATGATCAGATGATCAGAAGTATGATCAGAAGCGTGTGATGGTAAGCGTCCACCACAGCCTAAAGACACTTGCGATGCTAAAATATCACTCGCGCCGTTGCTTTCCTGACCCATCCCCTCCCCCGTGGTGCTCTAAAACCTTACTCACCGACAAAAACACAACACCACCAAAAGATAATGTCGTTTTACTGTAGTCTTCTGTAAAGTGGAGGTTACTTTCCCAGACTGGTGCTCGGATTCGAGAGGCAAATCGGCTATGCCCTACCTCTCTTAAAACATGTCCATTCAGTAGAGGAGACAGAGGCTGCATTAAGCAAATCTTGGAATTTCGCGGACGGATTGACGAGCGGATTCCAGGCGGATGACCTCTAGAGGCACTCGCCAGTTCTCGGCTTGAGGTCCTCTTAGGCTCTCGCCCTTCCCCAAACCCGGTGACGCTGTAAAGATCATCTGCGACCAACAGCATACACACTCAAAAAAAACTGTGTGTGATTACGGAGCAAAAGTCTATACGATGTAGGTGGATACATCTGCGAGCTTGAAATCTAATAAATTGGTTTGAATCGATTCCTTTATTCTTTTTACTATGATAATGCGGAAGATATGGATATTGTTGAAGGTATTACACGAGCCTGTCTAATTCTTGTCACGACTTCATAGGTATGCTGAGTATTATGATACGATACATAACACGTAACAATGTTTGGAATTCAGTCGAAGGTTATATAAAACTAGTGAGTTTTTGCGACTTCGTCTGTGTGGAAAAATTGGTTTCCCATGCAAATTTCCACCCCATTTTTAACCCTCTTAAAGGGTGATTTTCAGGAAAAAGCTATCCTATGTCCTGAGACTCAAACTAGTTCTATATCAAATTTTATTTAGTTCAGCGTAAAGAGGTAATAGACAGACAGACGGACACACTTTCGCCTTTATAATATTAGTATGTATTAGTATGGATAATAAATATATTGATTGAATCGTCGAGAAAACAACTTTTCTTATTCTTATTCTTATCAAACGCTGGTTTCAAATCGAAATCTGAAATATACGTATTATAATTACGATAAATAAACGTTACAAATGTTTATGAGAGGTACAGTGGCGTAGCTAGGGGGACAAGGGCCCTGGTGCATAGAGAAAGAATCGGGCCCTCCTCCTCCCTTCTTTCCGCGTAGTTTGAACTTATATTGACCTTCAAAATTATTGATAAGAATAAGAATAGAAAACAGTGAGTGAACTTATCCCTAGTAGGCTAAATCCATACGTCGTCTCTATTAGAATCTCCATGTGTTTAATAGAAGAAAAAGGGAATAAATAAACAACGACGCACATGACAATATAGAATATTTATTATACAGATGAGATTAATTAATGGAAAAAACGATTTTTAACAGAATTCCCCGCCCAATTCACAATCTCTTGCGCGCTTTAATTTTTGCGAATTCGTCTATAATTTCACTCAAATCCAAGTTTGATGCCGCCTCATTTTCTATTGCAATTAACGATAAATGTCGGAGGCGATCTTGTCGAATGCTGTTTCTTAAATAATTTTTTATAATCTTCAGTTTACTGAAAGATCTTTCTGCTGCCGCGGAAGTAACAGGAATTGTATGAAACAGTAGCATCGCTGTATACACTTCCGTAAGGTCACATTCGAGCACGCCAAATTTTGTTATAATTTCTTTGCAAAGCTGGCGAATAGACCACGTCTCCATCAATTGAGGGAGGATCAGATGATATGCATTAAGAAATTGGAGCGAAAAATTGGGTCCAATTATATCGCAATATTTCTTCTGAAACTGATCACATTTCTCGAGTAAAATCGTTTCATTTCAGCTAAGCAAGTTTTTTGGCATCAGGAAGTCGAACGATTTACAAACTGCACTCATACCAATAAAACGCGCATCTAACTGATTGATTATTATGTCGAGTACATTGTTGAAAATAGTTACTCTAAAGACTTCTTCCTGGTTTTCGAATCGGTGATCAGAAGCCAATCCATCGAAATGCTTTTTAGTTTTTCTTCGTCGCTTTTCTGGAAAGGTAGGATCGATATCGTATTTTCTCGCGGTTTCGGTGGCCTTGGATTTGAATGACTCGAAGTCATTTCTGTACTTTTTCAATTTATCCGTTGTTTCGTCCAAAGCCTTACTCGCTTCATCCAAAACGATATCACGTTTTTGCAAAACTTTGGAAACATAATTGATGTTGTTCAATACGCTGTGCATGAATTCACAAAGAAATACAAACTCAAAATTCAGCATTTTTGATTTTATAATCTCTGCTTCACTACGTTCGTCTTTACTGG